CTTATTAGTTTCAGAGATATGGTCAATTCTATAAATCCTAAAATAGAAAACGGCACCAGTTGACAACTCGTTACCATGGAAACGGGAAAAATTAAAATTCTAGAAATCACTAAATAGCAAAAGGCACCAGTTGACAACCTGTTCTCTGCGTTTGCAAAGTAATTAAGTGGGTGAGTTCCTATTTGTGTTAGTGTTGTGGTGCAGACAAGAAATTATTACAGACGGACATACGTACGGACGGATAGACAGATGGGCGTACAGACATGGTGATTACTATATCTCTCATATAACTATATATTGTTATATTGTGTACTGCTATATTCTTCCATATCAAATTACATTGTACTTAAAGGTAATACGTCAAATACATACTAAACATCTTTCCCCGTGACAAATGCTAGTTTAGAGAGAATGAATTAATTCTTGAACTTTCCAACCACCAAGGTTAAAACAAACATTAGAAAGCCTAATGTTGAGTTTATAGCAGCTCCACTGTCTCAATGCTATTGATTGTTTTGAGATAACTCTCTTGACCATATCTCCAGAAACTATTGCAGACCTGTGGGCTTGCTTCATTATCAATGCTAAACACAAATTTGTGCAATGTCACTTTTTGAACAACTGACTCACATCGCTGGTCTTCTTAGTAAATTCTGCAATAATTTTGCTTGTACATGATCAACAAATCAGGGCCCAAATCTGGGACAGGGTTTTCTATTTCAGGTAGTGGATGGAAGGGAAAATGGGTGATTGGATAAAGGCCTTCTTCAGTTGATACTATCTCTGTAAACAGAGTGGGTAAGTCATCCTCGTACGCAGCAACTGTGTTCTTCTTGCTGATCCGTATCTGTTTCTGTTGAGCTCAGACAAAACCTCAAATTGCTTCAACTTTTCGTCAGTTTACTGGAGAATGAGTCACAAATCAGATGGTTACACATCATCCACATGCAGCCCGTCCCTATGTTGTGCAGACATGTTGTTCCATCCCTCATAAATCACCTACTGTCAACAATTACTGAAACTTAGGTAATTGTTGCTGGTAACTGATGTTTTCAGTTCAGTCTTTACTTTATTGCACATTCTTGCAAATCCCAATGCATAATGTGCAAAGAAGGGTCACTGGACAACATACTTAAAACCATTTGTTTGCAAGGCATATAGGTCAAAGTTATATCTTTCAGGATGTCAATTCCCAAGGTCACACGCGCATGGACTCACGCACGCACGCACGCACGCACGCACGCACACACACACACACACACACACACACAAACCTCACACTCACCTCTTCTTTTCCCCAAAGGTGAGAATAGGCGGTAATGGTAACTTGGGCAACAACCAGACCATAGGTGAAATAAAATGACACAAAAGTGTTTGAGGATGCACACTGTCAAGCTAACATGACTTCAGGAGAAAGCAATGGTTCTAATTTCGTGTGGACGTAGGTGTCCATATATATGTAAGTCAGCTTCATAGCTTTCAAAATCAAGGCCACCACTGTGTTCTTCGAAATTAATTTCTTCTCTGATTATTCTTGACAAGTTATCCACAAACTGAGGCATCCAAGATGAAATGCATCAGTCGTATGCAAGCACCATTTTAGAACTCTTACTAGGCATAGAACACTGTCTGGCAGACTGCGATCCAGAGGAGGAGCAAGAGCTTGGATAGCTAACGATGTTCCAGAGGTCCTGTCGATGACTTTTGACTCTAGGTGGGAAACTCTGGCAGAGCTCTACAGTCCGTTTGGGTCAAAAGCAGACCGATGAATTGCAACCTAACTCGAAAACTAATAAACATAAAATGCTCAATGAAACGCTGATGATAATCAAAATATCAACATTTTTTATTTTATTTTGAGGGCTTAAATTCTGCAAAAACCTCACAGAGTTTGTCTGATGTCTGATGAAATGAACACAGTATGAAATTTAACTTCATCTGCCAGTGACACAAATTATTAGGACTGAAAAAGCGAGGTCAACGTACGTCTTTATATTTTAGTCTCATAATCGTAATGAATTTATTATTATATTTTTATGCATATTGGAACTTTAAAAGAGAACACATCTGTTTTTAGTGAATTTATAACATGACTGTAATATCTAGACACTTTATAGACTGCCAACGTGAATCATTTCACACACACACACACACCCTAAGAGCGACCTAGTGTATGTTGCCTGCCTCATCGAACATCACGGCTAAAAATGAGGTGGAATGATTCTGCTGACTCTACAACAAATGAATACAAACAAAATACAAATATTAAAATTAAAACCGACTAAAGTTATAGCAATAATATATCAGGCTATTACCATGTTCGAGGAATGTATCCATTAATATCCATATAAAGGTACGATATGCCATTCATCTGCAGCTGACAAAGAAACCTGTTCCATGTCATGTGTCAATTAACAGCATAATATGCAAAAAAAGTGTATATAGCCTTATAATTAGTGATAGTTTCTGATCTGGTCACGTGACTGTTTCAGGCTTTTCACATTGATGTAAAGCTTCATTGGTCACCGAAGATACCACGCCTGACAACAATTTGCATGACGTTCACCATTCTTTAAAATGGTACTTTAGTTAGACAGCAATGAACAATCAATCAATGTATTGGCGGTTAATCCTTTGTCAGATGCGATTATTCGATTGCTCAGTTGTCCCTGTTCTTCTTTATGGGTGTGAATTATGGGGGTTTGGTAAAATTCTTGGGAAGAAAATATTCATTTAAAATATGTAAAGGAACTACTGTCATTAAGAAAATACACACACACACACACACACACACACACACACCTCATGGTTTATTCGAACTGGGGAGATATCCGCTGGAAATTGAAATTAAATCACGAATGCTACTCTTTTGGGGAAATCTCATTTCGGGAAAGGCTTCTAAATCTTCTCTCCTAGTTTATATATTACTCTTTAATGATACAACCTGTACCACATCTGGCTATAAATGGATTGCCTTTATTAAGGACACTTTTGTCAAAATTGGAATGAGTTATATTTGGGCTACACAGGCATATCCTTATAAAAATAGTCTTAAAGCACTTGTATTTAACAGACTGAAAGAATTCAATATACAGACCTGGGTATCAAACACAGAAAAATCTTCATGAGGCGCTATTTATAATATTTAAAAAAATTCTGAATTGAAATATGAAACCTATCTGAATTTATGACATGATAATAATCGGAGGGCGTTACTTAATTTCAGAACTTCAAACCATTATCTACCAATTGAAACAGGACGATGGATCAAAACTCCCCCAAATGAAAGATAATGTATTCTCTGTATTGCAAACGATATTGGAGATGAATTTCACGTTTTGTTTATTTGCCCTACCTTGCCCCAAGAAAGGTAAACATATATTAACAGCTATTTCTGTAAAAACCCGACTATGCACAAAATGAATCAGCTTTTTCACTCTAACAAACTAGGAACAATTAGGAAATTAGCAATATTTTGCAAAATAATAATGTCTCATTTTAAGCAATGCCACCACAAAAGATAACCAATAATGCACGAGTGTAACATTGTTTATTAACTGGTTAAATGTATGTACAGACAGTTTATTCTTGCAACTAAGCGATATGTATATATGACCACTTTATGGTTCATACTTGTATTTAAGTTGTACATCATCATGTAAACTTATATCCACATTTTAGGGTAATCTATAACTAGCAACTGAAACACATTACCAAACTTATGTCATGTCATGCTGAACTGCTGCATAAATAGGTGTGATCCTAAACCTTACTCTATCACTAATATCTGCACCATTTTCTATTGATACTGAACACTTTAATGTTTGGCATGCTGAGCTGCTACATGAAGTAGTGTCACCCCTTTCATATCTTTTGCATTAAACTCTCCAAGTTTCTCTATGAGATACTCAACAGTTTCATATTTGGCAGGCTAAACTAATGCCACATGAAGTGGGGTGACTCCATTCTTATCTTCTGCATTAACGTTCGCACCTTTCTCTATTAGATACTGGACGGTTTCAAGTCTGAAGTGCTGCTTGAAGTGGTGTGACTCCCTTCTTATCTTTCACATTAACACTGGCACCTTTCTCAATGAGATACTGAACACTTTCATGTTTGGCATGCTCAGCTGCTACATCAAGTGGTGTAACTCCATTCTTATCTTTTGCATTAACATTCGCACCTTTCTCTATGAGATACTGAACACTTTCATGTTTGGCATGCTGAACTGCTGCTTGAAGTGGTGTGATGAGTGACCATCCTCTCTCATTAACACTGGCACCTTTCTCAATGAGATACTGAACACTTTCATGTTTGGCATGCTCAGTTGCTACATCAAGTGGTGTGACTCCATTCTGATCTTTTGCATTAACATTCGCACCTTTCTCTATGATATACTGAACAGTTTCATGATTGGCATGCTGAACTCTTGCTTGAAGTGGTGTAATGCGTGACCATCCTCTCTCATTAACACTGGCACCTTTCTCTATGAGATACTGAACACTTTCTTGTTTGGCATGCTCAGCTGCTACATGAAGTGGTGTGACTCCCTTCTTATCTTTCACATTAACACTGGCACCTTTCTCAATGAGATACTGAACTCTTTCATGATTGGCATGCTCAGCTGCTACATTAAGTGGCGTGTCTCCATTCTTATCTTCTGCATTAACACTGGCAGCTTTCTCTATGAGATACTGAACAGTTTCATGCTTGGCATGCTCAGCTGCTACATCAAGTGGTGTGACTCCATTCTTATCTATTGCATTAACATTCGCACCATTCTCTATGAGATACTGAACAGTTTCTTGTTTGGCATGCTCAGCTGCTACATGAGGTGGTGTGACTCCAACCTTATCTTCTGCATTAACACTGCCACCTTTCTCTCTGAGATACTGAACACTTTCATGTTTGGCATGCTGAACTGCTACTTGAAGTGGTGTGATGCCAAACCATCCTCTGTCATTAACACTGGCACCTTTCTCTATGAGATACTGAACACTTTCTTGTTTGGCATGCTCAGCTGCTATATGAAGTGGTGTGACTCCATTCTTATCTATTGCATTAACATTAGCACCTTTCTCTATGAGATACTGAACACTTTCATGTTTGGCATGCTGAACTGCTACTTGAAGTGGTGTGATGCCAAACCATCCTCTCTCATTAACACTGGCACCTTTCTCTATGAGATACTGAACACTTTCATGTTTGGCATGCTCAGCTGCTACATCAAGTGGTGTGACTCCATTCTGATCTTTTGCATTAATATTCGCACCTTTCTCTATGAAATACTGAACAGTTTCATGATTGGCATGCTGAACTGCAATATGAAGTGGTGTGATGCCAAACCATACTCTGTCATTAACACTGGCACCTTTCTCTATGAGATACTCAACAGTTTCATGTTTGGCATGTTCAGCTGCTACATGAAGTGGTGTGACTCCCTTCTTATCTTTCACATTAACACTGGCACCTTTCTCAATGAGATACTGAACTCTTTCATGTTTGGCATGCTCAGCTGCTACATTAAGTGGCGTGTCTCCATTCTTATCTTCTGCATTAACACTGGCAGCTTTCTCTATGAGATACTGAACAGTTTCATGTTTGGTATGCTCAGCTGCTACATTAAGTGGCGTGACTCCATTCTTATCTATTGCATTAACATTCGCATCTTTCTCAATGAGATACCGAACACTTTCATGTTTGGCATCCCGAACTGCTACATGAAGTGGTGTGATGCCACACCATCCTCTGTCATTAACACTGGCACCTTTCTCTATGAGATACTGAACACTTTCATGTTTGGCATGCTGAACTGCAATATGATGTGGTGTGATGCCAAACCATCCTCTGTCATTAACACTGGCACCTTTCTCTATGAGATACTGAACACTTTCATGTTTGCCATGCCCAGTTGCTACATTAAGTGGCGTGACTCCATTCTTTTCTTCTGCATTAACACTGGCACCTTTCTCTATGAGATACTGAACACTTTCATGTTTGGCATGCTCAGCTGCTACATGAAGTGGAGTGACTCCATTCTTATCTATTGCATTAACATTGGCACCTTTCTCTATGAGATACTGAACACTTTCTTGTTTGGCATGCTGAACTGCTACATGAGGTGGTGTGACTCCATTCTTATCTTCTGCATTAACATTAGCACCTTTCTCTCTGAGATACTGAACACTTTCATGTTTGGCATGCTGAACTGCTACTTGAAGTGGTGTGATGCCAAACCATCCTCTGTCATTAACACTGGCACCTTTCTCTATGAGATACTGAACAGTTTCTTGTTTGGCATGCTCAGCTGCTACATGAAGTGGTGTGACTCCATTCTTATCTATTGCATTAACATTGGCACCTTTCTCTATGAGATACTGAACACTTTCTTGTTTGGCATGCTCAGCTGCTACATGAGGTGGTGTGACTCCATTCTTATCTTCTGCATTAACATTAGCACCTTTCTCTATGAGATACTGAACACTTTCATGCTTGGCATGCTGAACTGCTACTTGAAGTGGTGTGATGCCAAACCATCCTCTCTCATTAACACTGGCACCTTTCTCTATGAGATACTGAACACTTTCATGTTTGGCATGCTCAGCTGCTACATCAAGTGGTGTGACTCCATTCTGATCATTTGCATTAACATTCGCACTTTTCTCTATGAGATACTGAACAGTTTCATGATTGGCATGCTGAACTGCAATATGAAGTGGTGTGATGCCAAACCATCCTCTGTCATTAACACTGGCACCTTTCTCTATGAGATACTCAACAGTTTCATGTTTGGCATGTTCAGCTGCTACATCAAGTGGTGTGACTCCCTTCTTATCTTTCACATTAACACTGGCACCTTTCTCAATGAGATACTGAACTCTTTCATGTTTGGCATGCTCAGCTGCTACATTAAGTGGCGTGTCTCCATTCTTATCTTCTGCATTAACACTGGCAGCTTTCTCTATGAGATACTGAACAGTTTCATGTTTGGTATGCTCAGCTGCTACATTAAGTGGCGTGACTCCATTCTTATCTATTGCATTAACATTCGCATCTTTCTCAATGAGATACCGAACACTTTCATGTTTGGCATCCCGAACTGCTACATGAAGTGGTGTGATGCCACACCATCCTCTGTCATTAACACTGGCACCTTTCTGAATGAGATACTGAACACTTTCATGTTTGGCATGCTGAACTGCTGCTTGAAGTGGTGTGACTCCATAGAAGTCTTCTGCATTAACACTGGTACCTTTCTCTATGAGATACTGAACACTTTCATGTTTGGCATGCTGAACTGCTACATGAAGTGGTGTGATGCCAAACCATCCTCTGTCATTAACACTGGTACCTTTCTGAATGAGACACTGAACACTTTCATGTTTGGCATGCTGAACTGCAATATGATGTGGTGTGATGCCAAACCATCCTCTGTCATTAACACTGGCACCTTTCTGAATGAGATACTGAACACTTTCATGTTTGCCATGCCCAGTTGCTACATTAAGTAGCGTGACTCCATTCTTTTCTTCTGCATTAACACTGGCACCTTTCTCTATGAGATACTGAACAGTTTCATGTTTGGCATGCTCAGCTGCTACATGAAGTGGAGTGACTCCATTCTTATCTATTGCATTAACATTGGCACCTTTCTCTATGAGATACTGAACACTTTCTTGTTTGGCATGCTGAACTGCTACATGAGGTGGTGTGACTCCATTCTTATCTTCTGCATTAACATTAGCACCTTTCTCTATGAGATACTCAACACTTTCATGTTTGGCATGCTGAACTGCTACTTGAAGTGGTGTGATGCCAAACCATCCTCTGTCATTAACACTGGCACCTTTCTCAATGAGATACTGAACATTTTCTTGTTTGGCATGCTCAGCTGCTACATCAAGTGGTGTGACTCCATTCTTATCTATTGCATTAACATTCGCACCTTTCTCTATGAGATACTGAACAGTTTCTTGTTTGGCATGCTCAGCTGCTACACGAAGTGGAGTGACTCCATTCTTACCTTCTGCATTAACATTAGCACCTTTCTCTATGAGATACTGAACACTTTAATGTTTGGCATGCTGAACTGCTACTTGAAGTGGTGTGATGCCAAACTATCCTCTGTGATTAACACAGGCACCTTTCTCTATGAGATACTGAACAGTTTCATGTTTGCCATGCTCAACTCCATTCTTATCTTCTGCATTAACATTCGCACCTTTCTCTATTAGATACTGAACGCTTTCAGGTTTGGCATGCGGAGCTACTGCACGGAGTGTTGTGACTCAATTCTTATCTTTTGCATTAACACTGGCACCTTTCTCTATGAGATACTCAACACTTTCTTGTTTGGCATGCTCAGCTGCTACATCAAGTGGTGTGACTCCCTTCTTATCTTTCACATTAACACTGGCACCTTTCTCTATGAGATACTGAACAGTTTCATGTTTGGCATGCTCAGCTGCTACATGAAGTGGAGTGACTCCATTCTTATCTATTGCATTAACATTCGCACCTTTCTCTATGAGATACTGAACAGTTTCTTGTTTGGCATGCTCAGCTGCTACACGAAGTGGAGTGACTCCATTCTTACCTTCTGCATTAACATTAGCACCTTTCTCTATGAGATACTGAACACTTTAATGTTTGGCATGCTGAACTGCTACTTGAAGTGGTGTGATGCCAAACTATCCTCTGTGATTAACACAGGCACCTTTCTCTATGAGATACTGAACAGTTTCATGTTTGCCATGCTCAACTCCATTCTTATCTTCTGCATTAACATTCGCACCTTTCTCTATTAGATACTGAACGCTTTCAGGTTTGGCATGCGGAGCTACTGCACGGAGTGTTGTGACTCAATTCTTATCTTTTGCATTAACACTGGCACCTTTCTCTATGAGATACTCAACACTTTCTTGTTTGGCATGCTCAGCTGCTACATCAAGTGGTGTGACTCCCTTCTTATCTTTCACATTAACACTGGCACCTTTCTCTATGAGATACTGAACAGTTTCATGTTTGGCATGCTCAGCTGCTACATGAAGTGGAGTGACTCCATTCTTATCTATTGCATTAACATTTGCACCTTTCTCAATGAGATACTGAACACTTTGATGTTTGGCATGCTGAACTGCTACATGAAGTGGTGTGATGCCAAACCATCCTCTGTGATTAACACTGGCACCTTTCTGAATGAGATAGTGAACAATGTGATTATCTCCCTTGGGATAGTAGACACACTTCAATTGCTCTCTGACAAAACTCCAACCTTTACCGACTCAAACGTCGCTGGAAACATAATCCCCTCCAAACATCAGGATGGGGGTTCCTTTGGAAGTTTGGCGAGCGAAAATCGGAAGATTTGTCAACCCCAAGGGCACAAAACAGATTGATAAAATTCAACCATACAACCCCACATCGCAATGGACGCCAGGTATGGACATGATATATAGACTATTGTTATGTGGTACTTTAATGCTTCTTGTGAGCTCTCTCGGCATACTTACAGCAACATGTGCAGAGAGGAACGCCCTGTCCTTAATTCCGCCCCCAACACTGTGTATGAAAGGCGAGATTTGTGAGGTGTCCACTGCCACGTCGACATGTTTGTTGATCAAAGTTGCCTTATCAATGTCAACGTATGTACCATCAATGGTACACAGGGCGGGTGATATTGAACTTAACCCCGGGCCCGGACACACTAGCAAAGACCTAGAGGATATGAGAAAGGCCATAATTAGTCAAATAATTAGCCAAATCAAGGACTCCGAGGATAGTCTGTCGAAAGATATAAACTCAGTGAAAGATGACATTAGATCAATAAAGGCGGAAGTAAGTGACTTAAAGACAGAGGTTATATCCCATAAGGAGGAACAAGAAGTGCTTAGGCTAGATGTAGATGCTCTGTCTGAAAAGTTTGATAAAATGGAGAGTTATTGTGACCATCTAGAATCACGACTTGAAGATCAAGAAGAACGAAGTCGACGCAACAACATGGTAATATATGGGGTGCCAGATTCAACACGGGAAACCTACACAGAGAGTAAGGAAAAAGTTCTCGAGATTCTCAACAAGGCAAGAGAAGTTTAGAAATTACAGCCCCTCACCCCCAGAGATATTGAAAGAGCCCACAGACTATCTCCCCCAAAACAGGATAAGGTCAGACCCATAATCGTCAGGATGTGCCATTGGGAAGATAAATGGCACTCTTTAAAGATGCGGGAGGTGCTACGAGAGGATGGCTACGGCATAGCCAACGACTTGACCAAATACCAACGACAGGAGCTACATCGCTTCACGGGCGGAGAACCCTGACACAAGATACTATTATAAGGGGAATAAACTTGTCAGGGAGCCCAAGGAGAATTCTAATCGTGATGACCAGTCAACACCCACAGACAGGGTTTGAGCTCGGGGAACAGCACAAGCGCCGGGACTGAGGTCAAGCCCGACCCTCGGACAGGGGCAGAGGAGATAGGGGTTAGGCCAGGGTAATTTTACGACGCATCACAAAAATCCCAATGAGACTGATAAAGCAACTGACATTAAAAATGATGTTAACTTTATTTTCTGGAACATCGCAGGTATATCAAGCAAGTTAGGAGATATTGATTTTGTAAAATTTATAAGGCAGTTTGACATTGTTGGTCTAACTGAAACATGGACCTCTGATGATAATATTGAACATGTGTTTCCAGACTATGACATAATTAACAAACCGGCAGAAAGGATCTCTATAGGTGGCAGACTCTCTGGTGGGATAGTGGTGATGATAAAACATCATTTGACGAAGTACATTTTGTGGTCTAAAATTACGGAAAATTGGGTTTTTCTCATCTTTGATAAGATTCTCTTTAAACTGGACATTGATGTGTTATATGCCTGTGCCTATATACACCCACAGGGATCCACGTATTACAACAAAGCTGGTCTACTTTGTAAAAATGGTATCACTTTATTTCAAGATAATTTACTGGACTTACTGTCTAATATGCAAGATGTACATATTTTGTGCGGAGGGGATTTTAACGCCCGTTCACACTACAAAAATGACTTGGTTTCCTGAAATTTGGAAACCAACCGTATACTGGGTAAATGGGGAATCCAGTTGGTTTCCATTCACTGAAACTGAGTAACTGAGTTTCCAGCTAGATTCCATTTTGGATTCTGTGATTTTTGAATTTCGGTAAATGGAAACCAACAAGAAACTAAGGTCATAGGTTTCCTGTTGGTTTCCATTCCTGGAATTTGCAGTTGGATATTTCCATGAATGGAAACCAACAGAAAACCATAAAATGTAGTTTCATGTTGGTTTCCTGTGCACTGTTTTGAACAAGTAACTTAAGAATTGTAATGGTCTAGCATGAAGTTGAACATCCTGGCGTCCAGTTGGTTTCCATTCACTGAAACTGGGTAACCTAGTTTCCTAATAGAATGGACACTGTAAACTTATAATGCCGGAAATGGAAACCAACAAGAAACTTATGCTTGTGTGTACTGTCGGTTTTTATTCCTGAAACTTAGGTTTGCTTTCATATCATATTACATTATTATGTAGAATAATGAGGTCATTTACAAATATAATTTAAGCTGATTATGCTTTGATGGGGAGAATTGGGGTGTATGTGGGGGGTGTGGTGGGGTGTCTGGGCAGGGCGTTTCGTGGTTAATATCATGATATTTTAGTGTGTCTTGATGATACAAAAAACAAAAGACGTTTTCATTTCTTTCCTTTCTTTGTTTTTTCACTATCAACAGAGAAATGAGGTAGTATCATATTTACACTACCATACACAAAAAATTGCGCAAAACAAATGTATCTATACATACAAATGGTGAGGTAAAGGAACGACAATTAAATATGGCCTTTCTCCAGCTCTCTCAGTGCACCAGGCACACTTAGACTGGATTCTCTGGATTGGGATGAATGAGGCAGGTCCAGGGTTTAGTTGTCTGCTTTGCCAAACTGAGGTTGGTGGCAAATAACCGAGGTTGGTGTCCGATGACTTGTACCAGTCGACAACAGCAAATATATGGTCTGTGAAAGTTTCCCCGGTTGTCTCAATTGTGTGTTTCAGGAAGTATTTTATCTTTCCTGAGCGGTAACTTGATGCTGATATGTTGGATCTGTCATCAATCCATGATAATGTCAGGGGTGCTGCACTGCCCATATCCTCCGAGGTGTAAAATTCATTGTTGAACAACATGGTTGGACAGAACACCAGATCTGGAACCTGAAACAATACAAAAAAATTTCAATGTGGTCAGAAAGTTATAAAATATTAATACACATTACAGAAAGTAGAAATTTCTCCTTGTATTCACAAGAACGTTTCTACCACAGATAGAAATATTGCACACATATGGCTTATTTGAGCATTTGATTGTAGAGTTAATCATGTCTAGGCACCCATGAAGGGCCACCTCCTCGTGGTGGGTGCTGGGTAACGCTAAACGCCCTTCAAGCCCCCGTTGTGGACCCGGGGGGATATTTGGTCCACCAACCCGTTTGCCGTGGGTTGCGCCCCTGTGTCGGTGGAGGACGGTAGTCTGGTGGTTGAGGGCAGTAGGATCCTGGAACCGCGTTCCTGTTGCCCAACACACCACTTTGGCCCTTACTTCACCTAGACGGGTGGTAGAACTGGCCCGGTTCTATCAATCGGCTGGTCACGCCGTGCCCTGTGCATGGAAACATTCATATTGAAATTAATGTGCATTTTTGGAATGCTACTACTGAATGTTATAATTTTGAAATTATATGATACATTTTTGCCTAGAGTCCTATGCCAGAAGGCGGTGGCTCATGGGCCAATCTGGTGATGTTGACCGCTGAATTCTGTATGTTTCTAAGTTATTGCTATGGGCCGAACCAGCCTGACAGTGAACTTAGTGGACAAATATAGCTATTCCTGTCATATTTGCTGGAGTATATCAACCCTGCATCCCTGGTGTTTGCGTCTTGGATATCCGATGCAATTTAACACTGTCCTTGTTGACACCGCGGTGGTGGGTGGGGGCAGGGTTGCTGAATGTTTTTTCTTTCACTATGGCTTACAATCAATCTGGTTCAAAAGAAGACATTTAGAATCAAGTTCATCTGATGACACTAGTCCAACTGTTGATTCCTGGGCTCGATTCCTGGTGATCGAGGCAAAGACCATCTTCCTATTAGACTAAATCCATTTGCCATATCAAAAGCTATTCATGGGTATTCTGGTGAAGTAAAAATGTCACCCGACTTCGCTCTGGTGCCCTTCTTGTAGAGTGTGTGGAGGAAACAACAGTCCATAAACCTGTTATCAATCCATCAATTTGCCAATGTTGAGGTGGTTGTTTCGAACACCGGACACTTAATTCCTGCAGAGGCATTGTTCGGTGATAGGACCCGCTCTTTGTCCGGACATGTCAGAACAAGAAATTGCAGTAGAATTACAAAATCAAGGGTTTCATCTGTGAAACGCTTCACCACCTAAAGAAGGAGGATTCAACTAGTGAACCCACACACACGCATCTGTTCACTTTGGCGCCTCTAAATTACCAGAGTCTATCAAAGCTGGCTATGTAAACATCGGAGTGGAGGTGTATGTCCCCAATCCACCTCCGATGTTTTAAATGTCAAAAAAATTTGGCCATGGTTCTAAGACCTGTACACACTCAATGGTTTGTCAACGTTAAGGGTGACAACCATGACAATCCTGACTGCCAACAGGTCATGAAATGTATCAACTGTGATGGCCAGCATATGGCATCCTCTAAACTCTGTCCTGTTTGGCAAACAGAATCGAAAATTCTTAGACTGAAGTGCGAGAGAAATATCACATTTGGAGAAACCAGAAAACTCTTAAACTCTCAATCGGCTACAGCACCTACACGTACTTATTCTGCTGTTGTTTCGAGACCAACTCAGACTTCATCTGTTTCATGCCAGACTGAGCTGACATGGGTCAAATCTGTTCAACCCTTGTCAACTGAACCAGTCATCGAGCTTGACCTAATTAAGGCATCAGCTTCAACACCAGCCTCAACATCATGTACAGCGAGTCAGACACAGTCAGACATGGGTCAAATCTGTTCAACCCTTGTCAACTGAACCAGTCATCGAGCTTGACCTAATTAAGGCATCAGCTTCAACACCAGCCTCAACACCATGTACAGCGAGTCAGACACAGTCAACACCAATCTCTG